AAAAAAAAAAAAAAAAAAAAAAAAAAAAAAAAAAACATTGCTTGTTGATGCTTTGCTGACGCTGCATTGTCCATACGAGTCCTTTTCACCACTTCGCAGGTCCTTGGCTCCCATACATTGCCCGATTGGGCATGTTACATTGCAATTGCTGCTCTTTGTAGTTTTATTTCTCCACTGACATCTCATGCAGTAGAATAGATGTGCATGCTGAGCTTTCAAGGCGTGCTGGTGCCCTGTAGCTATGACCAGTGAGCATGCTTTCCCAAACTCGAAAGTCATTTTTGTTCACCTATGCATTGGGGAATAACTCTGGTCGTTTTTCAGTGCGAGTGCGCCTGGCTTATCCTTGCACCCTCATATGTGGGATGGGAGCAGAATTCTCTAATGACATCTTGCAGGAACAACAACTTCATGGAAAATGTGAAATGAGCATGGAAAACAAATGAAGACATCAGGGAATCCATCTCACCTCCACCACCATCTGTGGTCCTCTACTGCAAGCTGGAAGTATGTGAGAGCAATGGTAATGAAGGCTGTTACGATGATCAGAATGATGAACACAATAAATAATATGCTGTAGATAGTGTACACCTTGTGGCCCCACACACTTGCGAAGATGTAATACAACTCTATGTAAATGGCACTGAATGGAAGGAAACCGGCCATCACCATCTGGGGGATAGTCTGCCGATACCAAGGGAGGGAAGGGATCTCCCTTGGGTACTTGGTTGTCCTACAAGGCGCAGAGAACTCTGATTTGTTGTTCTTCCCTGCAATACCTCCCAGCACCAATAAAGGGGAAGTCACCAAAGTCCAGATTAGGAAAATGATGACTATAGTGCCGAACGGCAGTGCAGCTGTGGCCTTGTAAAAGATTGCCACACTATTGAGGAAGCAGAAGTTCAAGAAGAGTGGTCCACAGAACAAGCAGCTTGTCAACATTATGTTCTGCACCTGTAGGCAAAGCATACCAATCACAGACGGCAGTTGGTCAGCAAACCTAGTCAGATTAGACAAGGAATCAGACTTGCATTACACAGTATGGCATTAAATTAGACAACAGAATCAGACTTGAGTAACACAGTATGGCTAGCACAGTTATATCATGGCCTTCATGGTAAACTGATGACTTGATTCTCAGTCCCAAGAAAGTATAAGAGGCTCAAATACCTTGATTGGCTGTCTCACAATTACGCACTACTAACATTCATTGATATGCAGCATGAGAAAATGTGCACATGATGTTTATGGCAGAAAGATGCACCTGCAATTAACCGTGCAGTTGCATTCTAACTCTGCATTTTACCCAGAAAGTCTCTGTCCGAAACCAGACTTTTCAACTTCTCTTTCAATATGCATGCACACAGATGCCGATGGCTGGCAACTCTCACAAGGCAGAATCAGCAACAAGCATGAGATGGTGCACATTGCCCACACAGAGAACTCAGATATATGGCCCTTGACCAGAAACTCAATATAAGTCAACTTGTCACAGCTTGTGGCTATGGCGTCTGAACTGAAACGGTATTCACCAGTTCGCAGTAGCTGATGCAGATCCCAGGGCTCGATCCCTAGTTCCCTACCTTACCTGTGTACAGTATCTGCGTCAACCCGTAGAGTCGAACCTGTGACCTGTAGGACCGCCAGTGGTAGATAGGATTTCGTAGGTTACAGGGTAGAAGGGATTCGAACTGTAGACCTATAGGGTAGGAGTCCACACAGTCCAGAGGTCGTAGCTGTAGACTGTCCGAAAGGTCAAGGTCGTAGCTGCTACTTACCTGAAAGGGCAAAGTCGTAGCTGCTACAGTACCGAAAGGCCAAAATAGAGTTTTCTAGAAGTGGCCTTTCAGAGTCAGCCTACGTTAGGCAGAGGCAAGTGGTCAAGTGGTGGAAGTCCACCTTGCACAGTCAGCAGTCCCAGTCCACCCAGTCCGGTCCAGTCAAGCAAGTACCGTCTGGGACTGTGTGCACCATGGGCCAAGGGATACAGGGCAGACCAACGCATCACAGAAGTATAAATCAAGAGGCTGCGCCCAGCCATTCATTCATTCATGCGGGCGGAAGCGCTGCCTCAGCGTCTTGTGCAAGGAGGTCTGCTGAAGGCCCGGAGACGAAGTGGGCGAGAGTGAAGCAGTGTAGCCGTAGCGATAGGTAGCGGGGGCCATAGCCGGCATAGCTGTAGCTTAGGGAGTAGTGTGTGTGTACTGTGTGCGTGTACAGAGTGATGTGTGTGGGACATCCAGGGTGATCCAGAGTGTGAACAGTGAGTTGTTTGGGCGCACAGTCGCCATAGCCAATTACAAGAGAACTCTTATCTGGTTACGATATCTCTGAGTACTGTGTGGGCGTGTGTCGCCAGTTTGTTGTATCGCTGTTTACTTGCATGAAGAGTGTGTTGAGTCGAGTCTGATTGCAGAACGCCCGTCTTAAATCCCACCCGTACACTGTATCCACCATCAGACACTGTTACATCTTCGACACCACACGGGTCCTACCGGACCCGACTTAGGGCTAGAGGGACACATCAGGGCCTAAAGGCCCGACCTTGGGGGTACTACAGGCCATAAAGGCCTCACCTTGGACCAGACCCGACGGGCAGGCCCAAACGACATTACCGTTTGGGCCTGGCGGCGCTCTTGAGGCTGCCGCCCGCCGGTTGGGGCTGAAMCGTCCATCTGGAYGGTTCAGGGCACGGCCAGGCCTCGCAGCATTGAGGCCRGCCTCTGCCCCACCGGTATATAGAACCGGTCCAGCCTCAGTCCAGCATCGACCTACCGGCATTCTACCGGTACGGTATGGTACAGCGCTAAGCAGYGCTGGCGCTATCTTTAGCGCAGGAGCAGCGAGGAGCAGCGCAGCGCAGATTAGCGCAGCAGCAGCGGCGACTGGGTTACCGGCGGCCATAGCCGCCTGAGGTATTGGGAGTTGGAGGCTTCTCTCCTCCCTCCCATTGCCAGTCCCCTCTCTCTCTCTCTCCTCATCGGCTCCTTCTTCTTCTTCTTCTTCTTCTTCTTCTTCTTCTTCTTCTTCTTCTTCTTCTTCTTCTTCTTCTCCTTCTTCTTCAGATTGGAGACATATACTAGTTGGACAGAGATCAGTGTTGGACTTCGGTGGTATGAGACTGTGGTACTTACCGGATTGGAGACTTGGAGATCGTTGGGGTTGATACTTGGCGACATCACAGTTCAGACACCGGTTACATTTGGACTCTGTATCCCCGACATTGGTGACCTATGGTCCTCGACATTTTGATCTTGTTGGATGACATTTTGGACTACCATATGGGTGACCTATCAGATTCTATCTCGGTGACTTTCGGTGCTGTCTACCTCCCCCCACCTCTTCGTATCTCCTCCCCCATTCATTTGTGTATGTGTGTACGGGGCTGAGCATCTTCTATGTATGGCTCAGACCCCACCACCTCACGATTGTATGTGTGTGGAGTGATGCTATGTGAGTCAGTCTATGTAAGTCAGTCCGTTCATCAGACTTCCGTTGCATATATGCTCATCCTACATTGGTTGATCCTTGGTTCTGCCCATACTCATTGGAGTATGTAACAGACACACTTGCACTCACTCGCCCACAGATACACACGCTAGGATCCACCCTGAATGTCCACACACTCACACACTACGTCCTATCTGTTGACGACAGCAACCTGCCAGCTATGGCCGCCGTCCTCCTCCTCATCTACTAGCGGCTATGGCTGCTGCCCTCTTCTTCTTCGGGCACCTGCAGACCTCCAATGCACAAGTCGCACTAGCAGCACTTCCACATGGCTCACAGGCCATTGAATGCATGGCTGAGTGCTGCCTCTTTATTTATACCGTTTCGTTGGTGGTCTGGCCTGCCATCGGTCCCAGGCCCGAAGTGTGCACAGTCCTGCTTGGTACTTGCTGACTGGACAAGGTGGACTGGAACTGGGGACTGCTGACTGGACTTGGTAGACTTACTGACTGACCCCTTCAGTCCCAAAGAGTCAACTAACGGCTTCTAGAAGCTCCTAGCTAGGTAGACTGACCCTTCGCTAGGCCTTAGGGCTACTTCTCCATTGCTGACTCAGCTACAGCCAACTATCTTCTGGAAGGACCTAGGCTCGACTGATAGACTGACTCCTGAGACGACTATTCCAAAGGACTACGGCTCAAATCCCGATGACCCAGCTAACGAACGAAGCACTGACCTATGACTTTTAGGGATAGGTCGTGGGTTCGAGGCTCGTGAGGTCTACAGGTAGCTGTAGGGGTACGGATAGGTCCAGGGATCAAGTCTTGGGATCTGATCTATCGCACAATCTGGGGGAGACTGTTTCACTCCCGCCTCCGAGAAATCTCTAATCCAATGCAGGACCTTTACCCTTCCTCACCCTCTCATAGGCATGCACTATGTCGGGAGCGGTCTCTAGAAGCTCTATTCTGGTGAACCATCTGTCGTCCTCAGGATTCCTGGCAAGCAAACCTAACTTTATACTGCTTCTCGGGACGACCCCGGCCTCTAGTTCTAAAAACGTCTTCTTCTACTATGCGGTCTATGTCGTATGTGATATCCATATCAAGCAGGATCATAGATCTCCGCGAAGGAAACTGTTCGCTTGTCATACACGACAACAACTTCGACGCATGGAAGACTGGATACGTATGGAGGTGCGGTGGTATTTCTATGGTGTATGATGGTCCGTCCTCTCCTCTTTTGACTTCTAGGACACACCATGGCCCTCTGTACGCAGGCAAGAGCTTCTGTGAGATGTTTTCCTCCGGTGCGAATAACTTAGACTTGACCCACACTAGGTCACCTACTGTAACATGCCCAGTTGGGCAATGTATGTATAGCCAAGGACCCGCAATGTGATAAAAAAGGACTGAATGGACAATGCAGTGTTAGTGGAATCTCAACAAGCAGTGTACATCCTGATACATACAAAATGGCACTTTGTAGCGCAGTGGAAGACTTAGATATAAGCC